TTCAGCAGGGAATGAAGGATATTTGACAGGTCATATTAACCTTCCCTGCAGTACAACTGCATGCCTTAATGACACAACTCAGCAGCAGCAGCAAATGTTCGGGGCCGACACACAAATTTCTAGTACTGGTGTGGGTGAGTTCAACTGCACTGAAGCTGGGGGGTGCTATCTTTCATTCAGAGGAAGTGCAAAAGTGATAAAACCTCCCTTATGGGAACAAACCTAAACCATTTGGAGCCTTGCATAAAACAGAAGCACATGACAAGGTTGAGGGATAAGCTAAAAAAGTAGTTTAGGAAAGGGACTGAGACATGAGGATAATAAGAACCACAGATGTACCCAATTGGTGAGAGATGTTAGTGTAGTGGGATTGGAGTACAGTTAGCCCTGAAGGATTTAGTAATTGGAGCAACACAGGCACGTGCCAAATTTTTCAGGTGCTTCTAAGTACATCAATAGCATACAATGTAGAATGGTACCAACTGCAGTTAAAAGCACTTTACTGTCCCATAAAACCATATGATAACTTACAAGAACACCTTAACCATTTATTAGAAACATCTATTCATCATTTATCCCCTTTGGAAAGGATTTATGAATGAAAAGCTAACATAAAGTGTTCCCATACATTTCACAAGAAATTACAGAAACAACAAAGACTCTTACCAGATTCAAGCTTGGGAATGTGAAAAGTTAGGAAGAAAATGATAAAGCCAAGCAGCAGAAACTTGGCTTGGGAGATATGGCAGAATGAGGAAATCTTTACCTTCATGATTTCTTCACTGGAAGAAAGAAAGGGATAGAGAAAAAAAATCAACTTACTGAAGAGAATACTGTGACTAGTGCAAAATAAAATATATGTTAAAGTGTGAAAGGGAAATAACACATGTACATGTACTGAACTCAAAAGATAAATGCGCTTAAGGCTAAATCCACTTAGAGCAAAGTGCCCTAACCATCTGGCCATAAACTAAGGCAGTGGTACTCAACCAGCGTGCCATGGCAACCTGGGGTGCCTTGAAATCCTTTCAAGGATGCCAGAGAGCGTGGCGAGCCGGTAGGGGGCATTCCTTCTGCTGAGCCACCCACTTCACTGCGTCTAACCACTTACCAAGCTCTGAGTGCCTCATGTCTGGCCGACCCCCTTCCTAGAGCACACCCACAAGGCCGGGGTAACTGCTGCCACCACCCAGGGTCTGGACGTTGCTCGGGCCCTGCGCCCCCTGGGGTACACAGGCCTTACAGCCCTTGAGGGTGCTTGACCCACTATGAGAACTTGGGGTGCTTCCTCTAGCCTGAAGCACAAAAAGTAGCCTCCCTTAGGTCAGTCCAGCATTGGGAGAAGAAAGGCATGCCCACTCCCTCTCCCAGCAAGTATCACCAAGCTTGTTATAGTGGAGAGCTTTATTGGTTAAAGAGCGTAGGCTTGGGGAAGGGTACAGGTTAGAGAAGTATCAAAGAATAACCCACAGCAAACAGTACAGCTAGGGAGCCTGTTGTTATGCTTCTACATTGCAGTAAGCTATCTTTCTAGAGAGGTTTCAGGTAAGTTACTCACAAGTATCATCCAGAGGCTGACTGAGCCTCCTTTGGAGGCAGGCAGTTCATTGTGTGTCAGTGAGTTTCAAGATGTCTCTTCCCTGTCCCGCACAATCGAGGGACACTTAAATAACTTTTCTGACCTCATCCCTTGGGCCAACCATGAACCAGTATTCGCAGACCACGGCTGATGCTGGTTGGTCAGTTTGAAAAACATCAGCACCCTCAGGTGAGAGTTTAGGGTTACACAGGACAAAAGACGAGCAAGTTCCCCATCCCAATCAGCAATGTGCATCCCTGGTACCAAGGAGGCCAGGTGCCTCAAGTAGCCAGAGTGGCGGGGGTAGGGGACTGGGCTGTAGCCCTACAGCAGTGAGACAGACAGGGAGGGCGGTTGACTGCTCCACATGGTGTACCATACAGTGCTAGTGCTAGGAGGTGTGCAAACTTGATTCACAAGATAAACCCAGAGATTTTAAACAGGAATCCATTGTGTCAAAAACATTCTGACCTGCTCTGGGTTTTCTAAGTTCTTTGCAGCAGAAGAATTGCTCTATTAATTTTCTAAAGTCAGAAAATGAACAAAAGAAGAGCTAACATTTCTGGGAGGTGCCTTGAACCTGTTGAGGGATGCCTTGAGTTTAGCAAGGCTGAGAATTGCTGGACTACGTACTGACCGCCCTGAGCCCTCTCCAGCTCTCCTCTTGCTATGGACTCAATAGGAAAGCAGAAAGGGAAGAATAAGCCAGAGGGAGCACATCTCAGTGAGATGAATACTGACTTTGAAGGGAAGGAAGTCCTGGGTTCCAGCCGCAGTTAGGGTACAAACTATTACAGCTTATGACCATTTAACTGAATATTAAATACAAGGTGCAGTTTCAAGACATAGGCTATGGAGAGTCCAGAGTATGCATGACCCATGATGTGGTGGTCCGAGCATTTTCCTTGGAACTTAGAGGAATGCATACAGGGCAATCCTATTTCACAACAGATGGAAACAGAATCCAAACTGTAGAAGTGCCAAAAACTGCCGATTACACTGAAAAGGAAAAAAAATTCTAAAATTTTCCATGAAAATTTGATATTTCAGTATTTTTGTCCTAAATTGTGGAAAAGATCCTAATATTAAAGTTCTTATAGATGTTCCTAGATTCATAGATGTTTGGGTTGGAAGGGCAGATAATCGAGTCTGACCCCCTGCCATAGGCAGGAAAGAGCAGCCAGGTGCATGTCTAGCCTCCTCTTAAGGACCCCTAAGGTAGGGGAGAGCACCACCTCCCTTGGAAGCCCATTCCAGATTCTGGCAACTCTTACCATAAAGTTCTCCTGACGTCTAACCTAAACCTGCTCTCCATCAGTTTGTGGCCGCTGTTCCTATTTACTCCACAGGGTGCTCTGGTAAACAGAGCATCGCCTATTCCTTGCTGCCCTCCCACCCCCATGAATTTGTAGGCGGCCACAAGATCACTTCTCAGCCTTCTCTTGTGTAGGCTGAAGAGATCCAGGGCCCTCAATCTCTCCCCGTAGGGCTTTGCCTGCAGGCCCCATACCATAAGAGTGGCCCTCCTCTGAACCCCCAAGGTTGTCCACATCCCTCTTGAAGTGTGGCGCCCAAAACTGGACACAGGACTCCACCTGTGGCCTGACCAAAGCCATGTGGAGAAATATGACCTCCCTGGACCTGTTTGTCATGTACCTGCTAATGCATGATAAAGTGTGGTTAGCTTTACTGATCACTTCGTCTCACTGACTCCTCACATTCTTCTTGGTGCCGACAATGACTCCAAGATCCCTTTCTGCTGCTGTGCTGCTGAGAAAGTCCCCCCTCAGCCTGCAAGTGTGCTGGCAATTCCTTCTCCCTAAGTGCAGCACCTTGCACTTGTCCTTGGTGAACTGCATCGTTTTGTTCCACCCACTTTTCCAACCTTTCCAGATCCGCCTGGATTCATTCCCTACCCTCTAGTGTGTGTTAACTTTACCTCATAATTTGGTATCATCTATGAAATGTGAGAGAGTGCTTTCCACACCCTCATCCAAGTCACTGATGAAGACAATGAACAGCACAGGGCCAAGGCCCGAGCCCTGTGGGACTCCACTGCCCACATCCTTCCAGGTTGATACAAACCCATCCACCACCACTCATTGTGTGCGACCCCTTAAGCCAGTTTGCCACCCACCTGACCGTGTAATCATCTACATCACAGCCGCTCAGTTTCTGTGAGAACAGGATGAGATACCGTATCGAAGGTTTTCTTAAAATCCAAGCAGATGACATTTACCTCAATTCCTCGATTTCTTATATTGTTTGTCAAGAACAAAACTGAAAGAAAAAAATGTAAATGAAAGATAAAAACATTTCTCAACTGCAATAACTGACTTTGTTTTTTTAACCTGTTGGACAGCCCTAACTTAAAAGACCAGTGTTTGCCACACTGGCCATGTCCAGATGAGCAGGGACATGCAGTTTCTGGTGCCACAAACTTTTCTGTGACATGACAAACTTTATATGGTGAATGTTAAAACATGTGCCTTTGCAGCATGCGGCAAAATTTGTTACTGGGAAAAAAAATCCACTGGAGAGATATACGGTGAAAAGCACGCAAAAAAGCATGCACCAGCAGAAATGCTCTGGCTGCCATACAGTCCTTCGTGTTGCCTGAGTTGAGCCCCTGCTGCTCCAGCATGCTACCAGGTAATAGTGCTGACCACAGCCATCAGCTCTCCCTGGCTGAAGAGCTGGGAGGAGCTGGGCAAGGGCAATGTGCAGGAATGGGTACTTGGGCACAAAGTAGCGACACAAATTTGTGCCACTGCAACTGTCTGCCCCTGCTAGTCTGGACACAGCCTTTGTGTTTTGCTCTGTGGGTCAACATGTGAGAGTCTGAGATAGGTAGCAGGTCTTCCTGGGAAAGACAACTTTGAGATCCCAGAGACACGGGAGAAGACAAACTTCTGTTTCAAGATCTTACCTGGGAAAATAAAAGGGCATCAGATGAAATATATTATAGAAACATATAAAAACTGGAAGGCATGGAGTGCTCTAAAACAGGGGCAGGCAATTATTTCACGTGGAGGGCCACTTAACAAGGTTTGATGAGCAGCAGAGAGCCGCATGGGTAGCCCTGCCCTTGTAGCCCTGCCTCCTGGTCGCCATCTTCGGATCGGAAGTCCCACCCCAAGCCACTGACCTTTGCCACCTGAAGTCCATCCCCTTGCCCCCCTCCCCAAAATACTCCTTTTGGGAGTGGGGAGTTGCCATCTTAAAACCAGAAAAAAAATTAATCAATCTAAAAGTCAAATACCTACTATAACACATTTTAATTTTATTACAAATTTCTCATGGTTTGTGTTTGTATAATGTACATAGAGACGACTGCATAATAACTCAAAATAAATGTAGTCTTTTATAGTGTGTGTGGGGGGGAGTGTGTGTATGGTGTGGGGGCATAGGATGTGCGACTCTGGAATACACTGTCCTCTCCTGTAGTCAATGCAGGCAAGACCGCTGTGTAGGTGTGAGGCATTTGAGGGATGTGAGGGAGGGTGGTAGGGGTGTGGAGACTTCCCATAGCGCAGTAACAGGCAAGGGCACTCGGGGTGCTGGTGCCCAAATGGTGCTGGTGCAGTGCTGTACATCGCAGCGAGGAGTGCAGCCCCCGCCAGGCTGTCTGTATCTCCAGTGCTCCCTGCTCTCAAGGCATGGGAAGGAAGCCCCACGTGCTGGAGCCAGCTGCCTTCCGAATCCCAGTTGGCTTCAGCACCTGGGGCTTCCCTCCCGTGCCTTGAGTGCAGGGAGCACTGGCGATACAGACAGCCTGGAAGGGGCTGCACTCCTCGCTGTGATGTGCAGTGCTGGCTGGAGCCAGGCACCAGCACTGAGCACAAGCGCCCCCACCACTCCTGCCACCACTGCCTGTCAGGGCTGCACACCATGGGGGAAGTGTGCAAGGGGTCCCAATGCTGCCCCCACACCTACACACTGCCCAGCCAAGCTGTTGCCACCCCCCTGGGCACAGGCTCCACGCTGCTGCCAGCCCCATGCCATGTTCCCATCCAGCTGCAGTCCTGCCACCCACTTTCCTAGCTGCAGCCCGAAAGGACCTGGACACCAGGAAAGCCTGCCCCTGCCCCGTATTGATGCAGGTGGGCCCTTCTGCCCACAAGGGTGGGAGCGAGGCATAATACAATATGTTGCGGGGCGGGGGGGGCGGCACAGACGCCTCACTCCCATCCTCGTGGGCAGAAGGGCTAGGTGGGGCACAATCCATTGGTGGGCACTGCGGGCCAGACGAAAGTACCTGGTGGGCTAGATCTGGCCTGCCAGGCATATTTTGCCCATCCCTGCTCTAAATGATGGTAGTTCAGAGTGCACTGAAAAGAAATGTTAGGGAAATGTAAGGGGGAGCAGGAAAGTACCACAATCCCGGAAAAAATAAATAGTAAAACCCTTTTCGAGATACACACAAAAAAAGGGAAGTAAGAAAACAGAAAACTGAGGTTTCAGAGATGAATAATCAAGCACTGACAGCTAACAATATGTGGTAATTATGGTTTACGAAAGCATTTACATAGCATGTCTTTTAAAACGATACAAAAACTAGTTACCTTTTCATTTAACTATTTCCCGGTTTCCTCAATAAATGCCGTCAACCAAAAGCTCTTATTTCACATGGTTTGACAAGGTGCAGTTTCAACTGTCAGGGATCTATACATATTTGTTCCTCTTCCATTCATTTCTAAAAAAGAAAAGGGGGAAAAAAAGGAAAGATGAGACTATTTTTAAGTACTTTGATCTCATTTAAGCTGTGATGACATGGGCAAAAAGGTACTGAACTCAGATGTTCAATGAACTGATGCCTGATTCAGTGCATATCTATCGTCTCATGAAACAGAGAGATGCCTATACTACTACAGCTGGAAGGGACCTCATGAGTTTATCTAGTCCAGCCTCCTACTCAAGTGGCAGCATCCTTCACTAAATCATCCCAGCCAAACATCTGTCCAGCCTGCTCTGGAAAGTTTCCAAAGCAGGAGGCTCCACAGCTCCTCTAGCTCAGTGCCTGGCCCAATGCTAGCTCGCTCTCACAGTCAGAAAGTTCCTCTTCATCTCCAGCTTGACCTTCCTTTGCTACAGCTCCTGGCCATTGCTCCAATCCTGTCCCCTACGGCTACAGAGAATACAGTCTCTCTCTGTCCTCTCTATCATCGCCCTGCAGGTATTCGAAGACATACCCAATCCCCTGTTCCCAGACTAAACCACCCTAGTTCTTGCAGCCTTTCCTTTTTCTTCCTTCTCCAGCCCCTAAACCAGTGGTCTTCACCCTTTTTATGGTGCAGATCACTTTTGTAAGTTTTTTATGGTGCAGGTCACTTTTGTAAGTAAAGGGCACCCCAGGATCTACAGCACCCCTGCCCCAAGCCACCCAGGCTCTGACCCCACTGACCTAGCCCGGCCCAGGCGGCAGGGGGCATGGCTCAGCCCAGCCACGGGCGCCCTGCCGCTTCTTCTGCAGCCTCTGGCAGACTGAGATCTACTGTAAGAGGCTGAACCAGGACTGACCCTGTGGTGCTGGGACCAGCCTGCAGCTTGCACACTCCAGCCAGCCCCTGGGCCCAGCGTTGGGTGCACATTGCCCACGACACACAGGCTGGACCCAGCCCTGCAGGTGGCACAGGGACGCCGGGGCACCACGGGCAGCTAGTACTCTGCACCCCGGCATCACGTGCGGCACCAGGGCCAGCCCATGAGCTGCAAGCACTGCGTGCCCCAAGCCAGCCCCAAGGACCACTCGCACATGGCATGGAGCCCACCTGGGGCACGCGGTCCATGACCCAGATCCAGCCGTGCCCTGAACGGAGCGCACACCCTGCGCCAGCCCTGTGCCGCGCACGACCGGTCCAGCCCCGCGCGCTGTGCGCAGCCTGCGCCAGCCCCAGGGCTTGCTGTGCACGTGGCCCCCAGCGCGGCAAAGTGTCCTGACCCCGGGGCTGCATGCAGTGCCCCGGCACGACCCCCCGCCCCACGTGTAGCGCCTGGAGCGAGGCCAGCGCATGGAGTCCATCCAGTCACCGCGGCCCGCATCAAACAGGTCTGTGGGCCGGATCCGGCCAGCCCGCAGGATGTTTGACACAGCCGTGTGCCGCAAACTCAAACTCCTTCCCTGCCGCACGGCAGCCCGGCCGCTCATCCCCACCCCGCCTGGATCTGGCCCTGCAGCTTTTCTGTGCCAAGCGTCAGGCTTTGCTCGTGTCCTTCTCGTCCAGTCTCACCCGGTGGCCTGCAGACCAGGTTTCCAGTCTGTCCACGTCACTCCGGACCCCGGCCCTGCCCCCGCCCGCAGCGCCTGCGGCTCCACCCCCTCGGCGCCCTCCGCCACCTGCCTGCACGCAGGAGGGACCGGCCCGTCCCGGTGCCCGCGGTCT